AGGCCTGAGCTTAAGATGATCTACTGCATGTGAAGGTACTGTATTAGTACAAGGTGCCTCTCTACGTAGGCGAAGCCGAAAATTTCTTCGTTCTATTTAAGGGTGAGCAGGAGATGAGCTTGGTTAGGGAATCGCTACAGTATCTAAAAGTTGTGGTGCCTCATGACCAGAGACTCTCGCCCCCCAGGGACTGGCCAGGCACTTGTACATTGCAGCACGCTATCCACCCAGAGCACCACACACCCCCACCCCCTCATCCCCCACCCTCGGGGGCCTCTCGGACCAATTGGTTTGACCTCCTCTTTTTACAACCATTTAACACCGGGACATTAAACAAGAGACAAGGCAAGTGAAGAAGTGGGGAAGGGTGGGGTTGGGGGGGATGGGAGGGTCAACGGACAACGCTGTACAGTCACAGAATATGAAAAATGTGTTACAGACTCAGGATCTAATCTTTCAAACCAACCACAGCGAATACGCTGCAGCACTTTGTAGATGCTCCGGTCCAATATTTTTAGCAACTTATTTCAAGCAAAATAAAAAGCCGAAAACTATTGCATATCTTTAAAGTACTGATTTAAACTGAACACTCGATTTAAACTCAACCCTTGACGTACAGATTATGAATATCTAAACAACAGAACATTCTGCATTAGATCGCGTGTGCCATGATGGGTACAGTTTAGGAATCACTTCTCATTTTTAAATAGGATTGTTTACTAAATAAAATAAACTGCCTGAAAAAAAATCAACTTTGCATTTTTAAGTCAACTGTAATTGACATTTGGAAATATGCAACAGTGGCTGTTTTCTTCTGTCATAGATCCGAGATTAAAACGGGAGAACGGACTAACCAGATCCAACCAAACACAACCTGCGGGATAATATTTACATTTTACTGTTAAGGAAGACAGCTAAAAAGCAAGAAAGTTTTCGACAAACTTATATCATCCAGTTTTTTTGTTCATAAAAAGCCGACATATCTGTTTAAAATTGTTGCATCCTGTGACAGGCTCCATAAATAAATCACAAGAGAAGCTTTGGGTGGATAAGGGTACAACTAATGTTTAAATAATTCGTCTGTGCTCCGGTCCTCGTGAGTTTGGAAGGAAGGACATTTTACCAGAAGGTATCCATAACCACATTCTGGAAATAAACTGTGTTCCAGATTGGCTTAACATGGCTAATCGCGATATTATAAACTACGCTTGTCCAGTTAATATTGCTACGTTGAACAGTGGCTTTAAGTAAACCCCTCAATGTGACTGCACTCTTTAAGCAGAATGTTAAAACCGAAAAGGTTTTTTCTAAAGCGAACGAAAGAGAATTTTTTTTTACATTAAAATCACCTAATTCTGGTTATTAACCCAGCCAGCCACCCCTTCTGTCACCCGCTCCCTTCTTGCTTAGAAAATTACCACCTCAAAAATGTTCTTTTGTGTTCTGTGCACTATGCATATTATCATATGAAAAGGGTCTGTTCTGAAATATATTGCACATATAAAATTCGGCGATATTTATCCTGCTTCTCTCAGGGTGAGAGAGAGGTACGTTCTGAAATTTGGTGATTGGAGCAAGAACGGGAAAATATGAAACCTTCCGAGCAACAATTTTACATTTACACTAAATTTCTGTTTTTTTTAGCGCTGTCGATATTTGCAAAAGTAGTGCAAAATGTCCGCTACTGCGTTCTTTATTTTCATGTGAAATTTTATTCGCGGATAAGTTGTATTTTAGTGATGAGATCTCATAGAAATGTGCAGATATTTCACATAGTTTATAACCTCTAAATATGTGCATTGTTGTACATTAACCACGCGTTCCTGCTTCCTGCCGAAAGCTGGTTTAAATACATTATAATACCAAGTCATAAATACCCGTCAAAAAGCAAGCGCTCAATGTCTCAATTATTTTACAGAAATTTTATTTATTAAATAACACGGTTTGCTGTTAAGTTGTGGTTTTGATTAAAGATTGCAGTCTGAAACGCGATCCAGGGAACTGTGTCAGGTGTTGTGATCTTATTTTGGAATTATCTTTCACGGGATAAAAAGTCCGCACTCCTACCTACCCCAAAACAGCTATCATTTCAAGGTCACATTACTTTTTCTCTATTTGAACGTTTTGCTGCATATTGGTGTGCAGATCATTCGATGCTGTTTAAAAATAGCTTGTGCCCCAAACAGTGGTACCTAGCCCAGGAATCGCAGCAAAAGGACGGCAAAAATAAAAGCTATAAAACTATAGCGAAAATCCACTCCTTTTTCGACATTATTCAGCTCGTGTGAAAGTATCAGGAAATAATTTCAACATAAAAACCCTGTTTAGAAATCCCTGCTATCGTGGAGGTGTTGAGGGGGGTTGTCTGCGTTACTCCGTCCACAGATTAAGCATAATTAACGTCCTGTTTAATTTGCACTACTACCTGCCCCCTTTCTCAACCTTAAACATCTGCTGCACAGGTTAAAGTGCTTGCTTTACATCAAGGAAGCTGTAGTACCAATACTGTTAGAAATACTTCTGAGTTTTTTTTAAATTCCTCCTCACACCAACATCGCATGCAAAATTATGCTTTTATTTTCCGAAACGAAGCATTTTCCGAGAAGATTTACGGATTTACGGCGCTAGAATTCATTCAACAGGAACAAAGGAGAAAGGCAGTTCACCGAAAAATGAAAGAGGTGACATTTTCACAACAAGTAAATTTCACTGATAAACTATGACTGATATTTTAATTTAGCGTCTGGGTGCGTTGGCACCGTGTCCTGAGAATTTAAGACTCGCCTCTTCACTTCTCTCCATCCTATCTGAAACACTGTCGTGGAGTCCCTGTGTAGTTCTGAATTAAACATTAATGCAGAATATGCAAAAAAATTAATGAGAACCGGATAATATGTTGTGAATCTGTTTAGACCACTACGTTCACTGACGCAAACACGTAGTCATAAACGTGGCGAATTTTTTTTTGGAAAGACTCCCTCCCATTCCTGCAATGGGCTAGATCATAATTTTATCGGAATGTCTTGCAAGACTGAAAGGGGGAAAGAGACAACCGCATTCCATTCACTGAGAGCGGCGCAATGCTCGTGAAAACGCAGTTCTTTTTAAAAAAAATGGGAACAGGATGGAAGTCTAAGGTGCATAGAAAATAAGGGAGACGTATCTATTTAACCTCACGTTGGGCAACGTGACCCAGAGCTGGGCTCCCTCTCCATCGTGTTAGAAGCAATAATATGCCAGGCTTATCCCAGCGGCGTTCTAGCGCCCAGTTTTGTGGAGACTGCCTGCTCTGAAAGCAGTAGCAATCCAAAATGATGCCCTTTAGAACAGGAGAGAGAGGGAGGGAGAGAGAGAAAGGCAAAATTAAGTGCATGTTGGTAGGAAACACACAAAACGGCTGCATCGTTTTGGTGGTGAGAGGGAGTTACACCAGCTGTGACCTGGAGCGACGATTTCCCTGCTCAGAATGTGGGGTGTGCGCGATTTTTATTTGAAAAACAAAAATCAACTTGGCACCACCGTGTTTGCCAGCTCGAGGACGGGAGGTGTCAGGTGAATCCAGTATAGGGAAAGGTGCACTGGACGGTGGTCGAGAGAGAGATAGAGAGAGCGGATGTAATAGAAACACAGAAAGAGAGAGAGAGAGCGAGATGAGGTGTCTTCAAATGTTCAAGCATCTATTCATTGCTTCATTAATTAACCGCCCAAAAGTTGGGATTAACGCAGATTTTGCAGAGAAGACTGAAGCGGCGAACAGTCACATTGAGTCTCAAGTGTTGGAGAGGGAGCGTTTAGCGCGCCGTGTCTTTTCAGAGCCGGCCCTCTCCTGCTTTGGGAAGACATGTTGGCCCATATATATTTTTCTCTCTCTTTCTGGCGAAATGAGACAGGGTGTGTGTGGGAGTGGAAGGGGGGAGGTGGTGTAGTGCGAGATGTGAAGGTGGTGGGGGGGGGGGATGGGGGGGGGTGGGGGAAGGAGGGGGGGGGGGGTGTAAAAGAATAGATCACACAGAGATTGAACAATGGGCATCAACTCAGCTGGACAATGAATTGTGAGGCAGAGCTGTTTGATTTTCTGCACACGTCCTCATAAGGCTGTGGACAGTTTGAATTCCAGCGCGGACTCCCAGACACCCGGCACAAGTTATGTGAGAAAATTAGTACAGAATCAGAAAGAGGAGTCTGGGGGGTGGGGGGTACGGAGGGAAGTCGATGGAAAGAACTGCAGCCCTTCGTCTAGTCGATTTTATTTTACCCCGTTACAATTTCACTGACGCTCGAGCAAAACCTAACGCGTTAGGGGAATCGAGAAGAATTAAACACAGCAAAACTATAAGATCATCACCGGAAGGCAGTGAA